TGGCTCAAATTTCCTTTCAGTATTTAAGCTGTCGTTGCTGTAATAAAGGAAATGCTTAACTGTACCCATCATGCCAGAATGTATCTGATGTATCCCTTAAGGAACTCTTCACACATTCATTTATATCTCCAGAACTGAAATTATTCCAAAATGAGCACTTAAATAGAAATGAAAAGGTTTGTCTGCTGTGGACTAGGTGTTTAGCTGATTTTTTTTTTTTTTTGGTAGATTTTTCTGCTGTAGGATACATGCACTCACTAGAGAGAGAGAGGAAGAGAGAGAACAATAGAGCAATAAATCATCCCCTGGGGGGCATGGCCATGCTGCAATCCCTTTTCCATTCTCCCCTTGGGATTTTAGGCACTCACACACATGAACCCGGTGTGACTTTTAAACCACCAGGGCTGGAACTCAGACTGTGATTGACCACTTGGGAGTCCAGCACCTTAACCACTATGCCACCTGCGGGCCTCTATTTGATTTTTTTAAAGGCATTTTTTTTCCCCTTTATTCATCATACAGTAGGCGCATCTTCCACAGGTCTGGTCAAACCATGATCTTGTTCCTTCAGTCCTCCAGCCTGTGAGATCTTGCACACTTGTATGCATGCCTGGTGTGTTTCAGGTGGACTGGGTTGGGGATTGACTTGCAGTTGCCCTGTGGGGTCCAGATTCTCTAAACTGGCACATTATGCTACACCATGGAGCTGGCCTTAACTGATCGTTTTTGATTATTCGGTGCGGGTACTGCTGACACCAGAGGGAAGTTAATAGCATTGCAAAGTGTGGATCCCTGTGGCATTTTTGCATGATGTTTTAAGCACAAGAATTATATATGAACTTTGCTGAGTTCTGAGGACTACAGGAATACAGAAGAGAATGGAAGGTTTTAATCTCAGGGAGCATGAGAAGAGCTTGTGCATGACTGCTCACTCTGTCTCCTCCAGTTCCGTTCAGGCTTTGTGTTAGAGCTGTGATTCAGGAGCCTTCAACATTCTCAGTCTGGACGGGTGTTACATCATTGTGCAGAAACACTTCTGAAAATAAGAGTTTTTGTTCCTTATCCCTGTTCTTCCACCCTAGTGGGAATTTGGGAGCAAGCAGCTTGGGTTTCTTTAGTGATGTTTAACTAGAAGTCCTACCATGTAGGTTTTGTGATACTCTGAAGTGAATGAGGAATTTCACATTAGCAGACTAAACATTGGAAAATTGTATTTAGAGAGAAATTATTCTCTGATTAGACATATTGAGTCAGTCACAGTGTGGATATTAAATTTGAAAAGAATTCAAAACATCCAAGAGACGGAGTCAGGAGCATAGCTTAAGAGCATGGCCTTGTGGTCAGGTTTGGGTTTCAAATCCCAGTTCTATCACTTTTAGCTGGCTGTCGCTGCTGAGTTATGGAGCTATGCTGAGCAAGGAGGCTGTAGGTTTCAGTTTGCTAAGGCATGTACTCTTCACTGACTGCTGCAGAGTGAAGCCCCAGACCAGTCATTTAGCAGCCCCATGAGGCCAGGTGTGGGTGCCCTGGTCCTCAGGTCTTTGCTGGTGTGGTTTATATTCTTTATCTGGAAAGGACTCCCTCAGGCTTCTCTCAGGCCTTGGTAACTGTTAATATTATCATTAATTTTTAATAAGCTCTTCATTTTGGAAGCAATTTAGATATTCAGCAAAGCTGCAAAAATAGCACAAGGGAGTTTTATAGACCCTTCATTTGGTTTCCCTTAATGTGACTGTCTTACGCAAATAATTACGATACATTTGTCAAAGCTAGGAAATTAACATTGGTTTGTTGTTATTACCATGATGCATTCGTCAGCGCTAAGACGTTAACATGGGTATGTTATTATTACTGAAACTCTAGACTTTATTGAATGTCACTTGTTTCCCCAGTGGTACCCTTTTCTGTTGCAGGACCATCCAGAATACATATGGCATTTAGGCTGTTCTGATGGTAAAGAGTAACTGATAATAATGGAAGATGTGTCTTTTATTCATAGATTTTGACTGAGAGTATAATATGTGTATGTTTTGCTTTCAAATCCCCAGTTTAGCTGTGCTGCTAGGGAGGGATTATATTATGTTACCTAATTCCTTGTTTTCCTACCTACTTCTAAGGCAGTTAGGGGCTATTAATGGGTTGAAAGTGGTAAAGTCTGATTTATCTTCACAGAGCATGCTTAACAGGCTCATTTCCACTGTTTATTAGCTGCTAAAAATTTTCTAGTGTTGCGCTTTCTGGGAGTAGTTTATATCACAATATTGGAGAATGCCTATGGGATCGACTAGTTATTGCCGAAGCTGATTCATCCCACACTTTGGTTCTGGGGTTCTTTACCTGATGGTAGGGGAAGTAGTAATTTAAATCTGGTAGCTTATAGAATTTCTTAGAAGACTCTGGGTCAGTGTTGGGGTAAAGATGGTGCTATGGTACTAACTTGATCTGGGAATGGTACAATTAGCTTTGAATGGCATTAGCTTGCTCTGGGGCTTTGGGGAGTCACTGACTCTCTTTAAGTCTCAGTTTTTCCATCTGCCAAATGAGTCCCTATCCACTCTAAATGAGCTCTGAAAATTCTACATTGACTTCTTTCCATACCCATAAAAAACTCCTTTCTTTTAAATAATTAGCCAGTGTTGTTGAAAGTTGAAATCATTTGCGTATGAGCCTATGTGGTACTTAATTTGCATTTTTTGAAAGGTGAGACATCAGCCCCCGGGGGATGACCATGCCGCAATCCCTTCTTCATTCTCCTCTTGTGATTTTGGGCACTCATACATATGCACCTGGTATGATTTTCAAGCCTCCGGGTCTGGGGCTTGAACTGTAGTTGGCCATGAGGGAATCCAGTGCCTTAACCACCAGGACACCTGCTGGCCCCAGTACTCAATTCGATATGTAAAACTCACTGTAGATTTTAGGTAATAGACTAAAAACAGCATTGAAACACTTCCTGATCATGGGTTCTTATAGTGGAATTGAGCTGGTCAACCTTAGCTCCCACCCTATTTCAATGAGGCATTTCCATACTTCCTGGGACTTTCGGAGGCAAGTATAGTTTCCCATGGGTGACATGTTAGACATTTTCTGGGAGAATTTGGCCCAGAGCAAGTGACTATGAGTGAATGACAGTTGGCAGAAGGAAAATCACAGACTTCTGCATGGATTTGATCTTTATTGTTGCTGTTGTAATACCTGGTTCTGTCACTCTGCGTGCTATTTTGGAGATCTGTGATGCAGATCTATTTTTTAATGCAGGTATTTTTTAAGGCAAGGAAAACTTAAGTAATCCTTAGAAACTCATTCAACATTAGCGGTTTTGTGTTGGTGATGACTGTCGTTTAGTTATGATGGGTCGTGGGTGTACTCTGGCTGAGGAGATGTCGTGGCATCTGTAAGAGTAGACAGTCATGGATCTGTGTTTAATTTGCTAAGTACTAGAGCGCTTTTGATCAAATTGACCTTGCTGAGAGTTGAGGCCAGCCTCATTTGTCTCTTCTCCCTCATGTTTCTCCCCTTATTGAGTTGACTAGGGTCATACTTGACCATTTCCATGGATCTGCCTCTTATTGCCTATGTGACCTTGAGCAGATGACCTTGTTACTTCAGCATTCAATTAAGTTACCTACAAAGAGCAACAGGAAACAACATTTGCTCTGTTGTCCCCCCCGCCCCGGGTTGTTGGGATGATAAAATATCAGACATAAGCCTTAGTCTTTGGCAAAAGTCGCTGATCAATACATTTTCCTCTTCCTTTTCAGAGATAAGAAAATTGATGAGACTAGTTTGACGTTGACTTACTGGTTGTCTTCAAATATTTCAAAGATGTCAGTTTTCACAGAGGCAAGACACCTCCTTTGATGCTCTAGCGAGCACAGCTAGAGCTAGCGGGTAAAAATGGGAGGGAACCAGATTTGAGCTCATCATTAGGAAGGACTTTGTAGTAATTAGAGCTGTGTTATAATGCAGCAGGGTTCATGAAGTAGTGAGCCATTCATCTTGGAATATTTAATTAGAACAGGATTCTCAACAATGTTAATACTGACATCTGGGGCCAGATAATTCTTTGTTGTCAGGAACAATGCTTTGCACTGTAGGATGTTTACCAGCCCTCCTGCCCTCTACTCACTAGGTGCCTGGAGCTACCTCCCTCCACTCCATCCTTCTGTGACAACTAGAAGTGTCTCTGGCCCATAATGTGGTGATTAAGTGCTATGCAGAAGAAGCTGGATCCCACATGGATGATAAGGGTTCAAATTCTGGCTTTTGTGGCTGGAAAAACATGCTGGGCATGCGTATGTGTGCCCAAGATCCTGATGGGATAGAACATTGGAGGAAAAAGGGTTGCAGCATGACCAGACCCTACTGGGGATGGTGTGTTTATCTCTGTTTCATGTGTGCATGTGGTGTAAAAAATAAATAAATAGCAGCCAGCAGATGGTGTAAAGGTTAAGGTAGCTGGATCCCACATGGCCAACTTTGCAGTTCCAGTCCCTGACCAGGTGGCTTGAAAGTTATGCCAGGCATGTGTGCATGCGTGCCCCAAATCTCAAGAATGAAGAAGGGATAGCTGCATGGCTGGCTCTCCTGGCAAGTGATTTCTTACCTCCCTCCCCCACCACCTCGTCTGTCTCACTCTAGCAAGAGCAAGTGCCCTATAGCGAAAGACTAAAAGATAAAAAGTAAATAAATAAAGTCTCCAGATATGTTGCCAAATGTTTCCTGAAGGACAAACCACCCCTGACCGAGAAGAATTAGAGGCTAGGTGGCCGCAAACTGGGCTCCATCCTCCTAGGGTCAGTTTTATACTAACTGAAGTCGACTACTTATATCAGTTTCAGGAATTCTAGGAGCGGCTTATGGCTTGGGGACCTTCCACCTTGGATTAAAGGCCTAACGTGTGAAATTGTCGGATGCAATTTGTGCCATAGAGTGCGAGAGGTTTTTGCTTGGAAGACTGCCTGGTTGGCTCACGGGCTGTGCGCATCATGTTTTTGTAGGTCATGCTGGCAGCTTCCTACTGGTCTCTCCTGGCCCCAGCAGTCGAGATGGCCACGTCCTCGGGGGGCTTTGGTGCCTTCGCCTTCTTCCCAGTGGCCGTCGGCTTTACCTTGGGAGCTGCGTTTGTCTACCTGGCTGACCTCCTGATGCCTCACCTGGTGAGTACGACTCTGCTGTGGGCTGCTGTGTCTGGGTAGGAGACTGACCACTGTTCAAACTGTTCGTGTCTCTGCGAAGTATCCAGTGCAACCAGACAGGGGACAAGGCAGCTGAAGGCTGTTTAGAGGAGCCCAATGGTGATTTCTTCCTAAACCTCTTGGTAATGTGACTAATCATGCCCTTATTTACGTTTTGAGAAGTTCCGATTTCAGATGTCAGATTTGATGAAGAAGGCAGCGTGCAGTTGGTGTGTGCTGAGAGAACTGGGGGGAGTGACCGTCATTGTGGCCCTGACCCTCCCTGAGCCGTGATGGTATTGTGGAGGTGACCACACACCCCGTGGTGGTAGACTATAAGAACTCTGGCAAGGCGTCTATCAGTGAGGGCTGGCGGGGGGATGTGGGCCCTGTGGCAGCAGGGTCTGGGTTTGAGCTTCCTCTACCATTTATTGGTTGCACATCTTTAGCTTTCCCTCCTATAATTTGAGAAGAATTCCCTGAGGGACTTTAATGTCTAAATAAAAACATTTATAAGGCATGGAAATTGGGGCAAGCCTGAGATTTTAGGCTCTGTTTTTGCTGCACTGGACTGTGAGTTGGGTCTGAGAAGGAACATGTGCTATCTGACAGAGGAGCACATTGTGGTTGTTGGGCAGAGTGAGCCAGGCCAGGCCTCGTGAAGGTCACCACAGGCAGTCGGCAGCAGCCCTGCCGTCTGCGCGCCCTGCCAGTAGCAGAGAGGCACTGCTGCCAGGAGCAGTGTGGACCGGGCACACGCAGCCTTCTCAGATGTTGTGCTCCAGCCAGTCCTGGAGGTGGGCGGAAGCACCCTTGAATGGATGCTTGAATTCCCTGCTCACCCAGAAAGAGAAAAGGGAGAGGAAGAACTAGAGGAGGCAGGCGGAGCTGAAGACCATTGTTTCAGTTGCTTGTGAAGGATAGAATTGAGCCAGGCTCCTGGAGGAGTCGCTGCCCCAGGAGGTGGGCTGAGGTTCTTCTCTTCCTAGTCTATGTGCAATCTTTGGTGCCTTAATCTCCCAACAGAAGAAGGGAGAATTTCTAGTAACTTGGCCTTTGGGCCCTGAGCCTAATGGGAGACTGTTATAGAAGGACTCCCCTCTGGGCTGGAGAACTGGGTGTGATGGTTGGCTGGGCAGTCCTGGTGTTGTCTAAAAGGGAAGACGTTGTGCCTTCCTGGTGGTTTTCTTTTTTTTCCATCAAAAGCTTGAATGGCAGTGTCTATTTCCACCCCCTGGACATCTGGCTTCCTTACTTTTGAATATATCTATGTGGTAGGAACCCCCAGAGGTCCTCCATGTGGGCTGTCGTATTCTGCCCGTTGATCCCTGCTGGTCATGTGAGGAGTGTGGAGTATGTTCTACTTGCCCTGGCAGGAAGCTCTCGTGGCCACTGGCCTTAACTCCGAGACAGCAGGCAGGAATCTGGCTCGGCAGCTCTGCTCAACCCTGTGGGGTCTCATTCTGCCCTCCCACCTGGGCCCCACTGGGTATCCCGGGCAGCCTCCTGCAGAGGGCTCTTTGCAATCCTGCTGGGTCATCACTGCTGGACTGGGGGCTGGGTGCGGGAGGTGTCTGGTGTATTTGATCAGCTGCCCGAAAGGTGGGGCTTTCTCTGGGCAGTGTAAATACTCACTAGCCGGTGTGGAAGGTGCAGAACTACTTTTTTTTAACCTTTTGGTTCATGCTTGTTTTAATACATGCTTTGAGTATGGAGAAAATTTATCCCAAAGGGAAGATCCGGCATAGACTCCACAGAAAAGCATGCATGGTTTGAGAGTGGAGGTGAATGTCTGGAAAGGGGATGCCTGGGCTCAGAATGGGGCATAATACCCATGAATGCCCAGAACCTCTCCCTCGACCTAGTTGGCAAAAAGATCAGCCTGACAGGAAGCATCTGTTCTAGGACACTGACAAACAAATTAATTCTTGCTGTGAAAGTGAGAAAGGGAATTTGTCCTAGAAGGTCTTATAAATAGATGAGAATTATTTATACTCGTGACAGCCATTGACTACAAATGTTGAATCATGCATGGAAACAGTTTTTTGGTCTCTCATCTGAGGCCAGCTATGCGTCTCCCTTGGGTTCCCTGTGAATTCGCTCACCAACCCAAAGCGCGGGGGCAGCAGTGTGGGTCTGTCGAAGGTGCTCTGCGGGGTCTGAGCTAATGGGTTTTGATCTTGAGTCCTGGTGGCTCCCCAGCACTGATTAAGCACCCACCCCCTTCCCTGGGGGCTAGAATTTGTTTCAGAATGTTCACTGCTCTTCGGATTTATGAACCAGTGGCTTTTGAGGCTGAGGCTGTGGATAGTTCTGTAAGTTCATCTCGAGGTCTTGTCAGTTCCAGCCTCATTCCACCTGTGACAGCCACACTCAGCAGATGCCCCCCAGGTGTGGGCCCAAGCAGGTAGAGCAAAATGCTTTGGTCGCAGCTCTGACCAAAAGGTCTGGGATAAAGGGGTCTGTCTGCAGAGAACCCCAGGATCTCCTCTGAGGCCCCTGAAATAGGACTTCGGGCATGATGCAGGTAAGGAAGTGAGCCAGTTTCTGTGCTGTTTTGCCTGGAAAAACAGCTGACGCTGGAGTCCGGCAAGGGGGAGCGTGGAGCGGGGAGCCCCAGTGATGTCCAGGTTAGCGCCTTGCCGGTGCCCCCTCAGGCTCAGGCCCGAAGCCTGGGAGCAGCAGAGCTGCTCGCTCAGGTTCTGCCTTGGGGACCAGAAGGCAGCACACTCTTGGGTCGGTGGGAGGGTTAACCTCTGGCCGTGTTCTCTAAATCCACTTTCGTTCATTTAGCCATTTGGATTCAGGATTCATTCAGCCCCCTTTGGAGTTCCAGCAAAATATGGCTCATGAAAAGGGTTTTGCTCATAACAGCCTGTCTGGTCAGAGCCACTGCAGCTTGCTTAACTTCAGACAAATCGAGCTGCTCTCCGAACTGGGTATTTATTTTTATTTATTTATCTGGGGATAAAGTAGAGAAGGCTCATGCAGTAACTGTTAACAGGAAATGAACTGACAGGGATTTACAGAGACTTTGCTGAATGCTGTTTTTTTTTTTTTTTTTTTTTTCCCAAACTTTTTCTTTTTTTTGA